TCCCTCACTCTTTTTCTCTTTTTGTATTATATCCTTGTTTCGTTCAAACCGTCCTTGTCTCTCTTTTTCTCTCAGGTATTTGTTGCCAGCGTGCATGTGTGTGTGTGTGTGTGTGTGGGGGGGGTTAGTTTTTGTGGTTTGAGTGCTAAGTGAACGTGTCAGTGCCCAGGGCAAGGGGTCTCCCCGCAGGGCCGAACTCAGTCACGGGATCACACAACCCACTGGTGGCGCAGACATTCTGCCCTCAGGGTGTGTGTCAGTGTGTATGTGTGTGTGTGTTAAAAATGAGCGATTGTTTGAGTTTCCTGTCTGTCTGAAGATGCTTATGTGAGTAAATTTGCCTTTGTATGTGTCTGTCTATGTCTGTATCTTTTGTTTGTACCTGTGTACATGTTTGTGCTTGTATCTACGTGGGTGCTTAATGCGTGTGTCTGTTTATCAGTCTGTGCGTCTGTGGGTGTGTGTGTGTGTGTGTGTGTGTGTTTTTGTCTGTGCCTTTCATCTGCCCCTGTGTGTGCAAAATGTGCTTTTGACTGTGAGTGTGAGAAAGCTGTGTGTTTGTTTGTGTGTGTGTGTCAAGCCATAGCTAAGGCACGATTCAGCCCTCAGGTCACTTTAACATTGTGTATTGCTCCCTTGTTGTCAGTCTTCATGACTACATCACTCGCATTAAGAACCCCCCGCCACACGCACGCACACAAACACACACAGATTTACATGCATAAGCATTTTTGGAGAAAATACAACCCCCACTCACAAAACAAAGTCACATAGACTCACACACTTAATAATTTTTGCTGTATCTATGCCTGCAGGAACCATGAGGACATCTGCACAGTAAACACTAAAACCCCCTGAGCCCCAGTCCCAAATATTGCTCACACTTGCACGCACTTATTTTCTCTGGCTATCTCTGTCTCTGTCTCTGTCTCTCTCTCTCTCTCTCTCTCTCTCTCTCTCTCTCTCTCTCTCTCTCTCTCTCTCTCTCTCTCTCTCTCTCCCCCTCTCTCTCACACACATACACTGCAAACAGATAATAGCCCATATTCTCCAGAGTGCATTCTGTGGCAACACAATGTAATACATTGTGGTGTTGTGGAGCTTTTTCTCCACCCACACTAATATACTTCCTACTCTCCCTGTCTGTCCTCTCTGTCCCATATTTTTATTCTGACTATTTCTAGAATTTCATCAAGGCAAATGTCCAACACAGGGGACCCCAAGACCTTACAGTGAGACCCTTTGGAGCACACCTTTGCTATATTATACAAACATCCAAATGTTCTACAACAACATGAACAAGGGTCAAGTCTTGATTTGAGCATAATGTACAGATGGGCTTAGTTTGGGCCTTTTATAATTTGTCATTATTAACGTCTATAGACTTAGACAAGTTTGTCATTTTTAACCATGCTAGTGGTGTGACATGGCAATGTTGGTCTGTCTGTCGGTCCGTCACTCTGGTCCAGACAGTGGTCTTGAAATATCTAAACTATTAGATGTTTGTGCAGACATTCATGGTTGCCAGACAATGACTCATAATCACTGACTGTTTCTTTAGTGCCTCCATCATGTTGGCTTGAGGTTTTGTGTGAAATGTCTCAACAACCTTAGAATGGGTTGCCCTGACTTTGGTACACATGTCCATGTGGCCGTGCAGGATGACTTGTAATCACTCTGTCTCTGACCTTTCATCTATTGCCACTGTTAAGTGAAATTGTCAGTTTAGGACCAAATACCTGCAAAACTAATTACATTCCCATCAGCCTCAACTGTGCCTTGTGCTTTGTGCTAATAAGCAAATGTGTGCATGCTAAACTAAGATGGTGAACATAGTAGTTTGCGAGAATGGCTGTAGATCGTTAGTCTTCAATTAATTGCTTGCTTTGGATGAAGAAGTATGCACAGCCATTTTTCTCTTGTACCAATATAAGTGCAATTCTCTTCGTCCAAAATGTTCTTCTGTCTGACTCTCTTTCTGTCATGGCTGCTAGAAGACAGACTCCCTCCCGCTGTCCTGAAGACATGAGGCAGACATAATCTGCACCTTGACCTGACATGGATAGACAAGATGCTAACACAGTGCAAGAAGGCACTGTGATAGGTGGGAACAGAGAGATAAAGTTAGATGGAGAGACTGGGGGAGAGAGTGAGAGAGAGAGAGAGAGAGAGAGAGAAAGAGAGTGAAGTTCTATCTTCCTAAATGCGTCACCTGCCAATCATCTGTCACGTCAAAAGCACTTTTCAAGTGTTGCTGTGTGTTTTGTCTGTCCGTCTCGTCTACAACCCTGTCATTCACTTTGACTTCTCTCTTACTGTAAAGAAGAAGGAAACAAGAGAGACAGAGGGAGTGAGAGAGGGACAGCAAGGCCGCTGATCATTCAGTGAAACCCATTTCAGTGTCTTCCAGGAAAAGACTTTCACGCAGGGGCTGGTATTTTTTTTTATCCCTGTCCTTCGACTTGGTTGTTTTTTCAGTTTAAGCTCTTAGCATTTACCTGTTTGTAGTTGTAGATCAGCACAAAGAATAATGGAACCTTAATGGAACTATTAAAAAGTCATTTGAGTACAGATTTCAGTTCTCAGCTGTAAATATTGTCTTAATGTAAATTATGTTGATTTCAATATCACAAAGTAGTCTTGTTTTTACATTTTCATTTACATATGTTGCATCTGGAGAAGTTTATTTGTTGGAGCCAGCTGATGGAAGAACACCTAATTTACATTTCATTTTCAGCAGCTTCTCATTTGAATGGAAAACTAATAAACATATGCATGTATGTGACCCTATTTGAATTGTCCTGAGGCAGTAGACTCCATAGACTTGACAGTAGCTCTTTCTTTCTTATGAGTTAAACAAGAGTCCAAAAAAAGTCCACATGTGGGCCCTGGGGGAAAGGGGGAGGGTCATGAGGTCCTCAAAACAAATTAGTTAGTTCATTTTGAAAGCATGAATGTTCCCATGAATGTCTGTTTAAGAGATATGCTCGTTAAAAATGGCTGGTACGGTCTGAATGTGGCACTGGGGAAAAGGTCATAGGACAAACAAAATCAATAGGTTTCTTACCCTTGGAAGCAAAAATGCGTACACCAAATTTCATGCCACTCTGACCATTAGTTTTCGAGATTTGAGTCGCACTCAAAAAAGGGGATGGCCAAATGACAGTCATATGACGGCAGTAATTAAATGATCTGTTCCCGGTTGTCTTCCCAAGCATGCCGGCTTTGTTTGCAAGTTTGTTTCACCTTGTTTACATCATGTAGCAGTCTATTTGGAGCTTTCTGACATGGGAGCTGTCAGCATGTCATTCAAATTTCAGCTGCCTTAGTGCCACACATCATCATGAAGATGAAAGCCAGGGTGATGTGATCTTTTCCCTTGTAAACCTGAAAGAAGTCACAACAGCTTGGAGAGAATAGATTGATACACACAGAGAAAGAGAGATAATTTTGGGAGATGTTTTTTTTTAACAGACAGCTTAAAAAACAATATCTGAAGGAGGGATTAGAGTAGCTGTGTTCCTTTGCTTTGAACTGCTGACAGATAAAAAAAGATGTTTTTGACACCAGCGGTTGAAAGAAATATTGATGGATAATGGGGCCTGTAGTTGTCAGTCTAAATGTTTTCATAGACGGCTTTGATATTTCAGTTGTAAAAGCTCCATACATTAAACCATACAAAACTGAATGCTATTTCTAGACTCAGCCTCAATTTCGATCCCTGATAAAAAGCAAGATATTTATATAATATTCCACACAGTTAAGAGTACCCATTGCACTCACTTATATAGATACTATTCAGTGCATTAAAATACTTGTCTTGAATTAGTCGCACTCTATTTAATTCTGTAGAAAAAACTCATCATTGTTTGTCATATTTGACTATTCAACAGTTCTTGCCTAATATGTCTTCTACTTCACTGTAGTAGGTAGGTGTAAGTCCATTCTCAGTGTATGTGCACTGGTGGCTTCAAGTTTCTATATTACACTTTGCAGAAGATGCAGATCGGACCAGGACTCACCTCCAAACTATTTTCATTGAGCACTTTCCATTTTCAGCAGACGAATGTGAAAACATCCTTCTAGTGTCAAACAATCTAACTGTAGAGACACGAAGGAAAATGTCTTTTCGAGCGACGGGGGACTTTAAATTTTTTAGAAATGAATTTGTACCAGTCTTGACTTTTACCCACATTTTAACTTTTTGCATGAAGTTCGGTTTGTTCCAAACATGACAATAATCACAGTGTATTTATCATTCATTAAGTTAATTGTCACTACTGGTGGTTTGCGTTTAGTTTTTGTAACTGCTAGCTTCTTAGCTAACTCCTCTAACTTGTCAAAACAAGGATGTTTTAGACCTTTTCAGAGCAGACATTATGGCTTGTCATAGCAGGAAAAGCAAAGGTGTAACTGATTAGATCAAAATGATTCATCCCATTTACGCGTCCTGGTATTGTGCGAGCTGGCTCACTGTCTTGGCTCACTGGGATGCTTGATGAAACTAAGCCATCATTACTGAAAATTCGTTTCATCTGTGCCTTTCCTGCTATGACAAGTCAAAATGTCTAAAAAAGGTCAATAGTGTGCCAAACAACAGGTTGTGGTGAAGGTTTGAATCATCAGACTTGAATAGCAGCCATATACTCATCAAGAAGGACATTTTTCTCCATACATATTTTACACATACTCATATTAATCCAACTAATACCAAAACTACAAGTATTGAGTAGAACAGAAACAAATGATGTAATACCGTAATGAGATGACTACTCTACTGTCTATTCAGTATGCATGACAGTGATATTTCCAAAGTATTAAATGGAAGCGCACGCAATAGCCATTTGTTTAAAGGTCATAAAACATATTTCAATCATCTTTTGATTATGAGAAATGAAGAGGGGGGTTTAAAGTTGGCATGGGATAAATTGGAACAAGGTGATGTCACATACTTCCACGCACCAATCGACCACCACCAATTGTGTGTATTCTCCCCTCAGATGCAGCGCAGTGAGACGGTGTGTAGTTACTGCGGTGTGAGCTACCTCATTTTCCATGAGTTCCATCAGCTACACACCCGGCTGGCTCAGTCGGAGGCTGAGCTGCAGCAACTGAGGGAGGCTGCCCAGAGGGAGCAGGCCCAGCGAGAGGTGCTGGAGCTTGGCAGGCTGGAGTGGGAGAGGGCATTTCACCTGGAGGTGCAGAGACAGGCGGAGGAGAAAGAGAAAAGCACAAGAGAAGAGCTAGAAGAGAGCATCAAAGCCACGGAGAGAACTCTGAGAGAGGAGTTTGAACAGAAGAATGAGAGGATGAGGAGAGAGATGAAAGAGGAGTATCAGAAAATCAGTGAAGGAAAAGAGAGACAACTTAGAAGAGAGCTGGGAGACTTAGAGGCGGAGAGACTGGGGAAGCAAAGAGAGGAGCTGGAGAGGGGGACCAAGGAGAGAGAGAAAGTTCTGATTGACGCACTTCAAAAGGCCAATAAAAAATTAGACAAGCTGAGAAAACAGCTGGAAGAGAGGTGAGGTTTGCATGTGTTTGTCTGTGTTTCCCGTCCCTGGTGTAAAATGATCTCTGATACCAGGCTTCATGTGGGCAATTATGTTGTGAGTCATGCTGTTAACACAAAAACACACTCTCAGACAAATCAGACATGCATCCCACTATTTGGTGTGTGCATGTTCATCTCTGACACAGACCTCGCTGTATCATCATATCTTCGTCTGTCATTTTAAACACCTCCATCAGCCACTACGTAGAAAACATTAAAATAGATATGACGTTCGGTGGAGTGTTTCAATTTAATTTGAAAGTTTTACAATATTTATTAGGTTTGTTCTCTGGCAGGAATTGTTTTGCTCAACAGCTCTAACACGCTGTTGTTAGCAGGGCCTGACTTAATGTGGGAGGAGATAGCGTGTTAGTGAGCACAGTGTTTGACAAACATCCTCCACATTTCATCAGAGAATTGACAAAACTGCACTACACAAAATTAGACCACATTGCTGCGTTTCACTTTCGATCAGTGTCCAGAAATGATAGATGAGTGGGAAGACTTTTTTTTTTTCCTCCCACTCATCAGGATGTGCGGGGGTTTTAGGTGGACAAAAGATAACAAAAAGAGAATAGAGGTCTACACAAATCTAGAGTAATTTTTTCAACTTGTTTGCAACAAAATATTATAACTCACTCTATCATGCTGCTTACTTATGATCTTTATACCCATATGCAATGTGGCTGGACTCAATAAGTATAAAAACTTTGTGAAACGCTAAACCAATACAAACTAGTTAGTTAAATATTTAGCATTTATACTTTGTTGTAGGTTCTCAGCGAAGAGCTCAGTGTTTGAAAGGACATCACAAGGCCATGTAAAGAATGGAATTTTCCATGCAAGATTGGGAGTGCAACTGTACGCAACTGTGATACCTGACCTTATAACATTTTGTAATGATTCCTCTAATGACTTCTCATGACTTGGCTTTATATAACATCAAACATTCATTATGGTGGCTTACAGCAGCTCTTAAAAAGCATTTGGCATCCTAATCAATAAGGAATGCTATCCAAGGTTTTAGATAGCAGTGTGCACATAGTGTCTCCCTTTTAGGCAACTGATGGGCAGTGGAAACCTTTTCCTTTGATTGCTGAGAATTGCTTTATAATTAGTGTGGGACTAATGCCATGCTCCTATTTAAAATAATGAATACAGCTCCGTCCGTTTCTCTTCTTTACTATGGCATCATTTGCTGCTATTTCTCTCCCCACCTACACATGTTCTGTATCTCAGCTGAATGCAACAAGTTCAGTCATGTTCTCTGGGGGCTATACAAAGCTATTCTAGGGAATGTAAGTGTGTACCAAAAATGAGCTTATGAATAAGTTAAAATAGGTATCAATTCATTTCAGGATGCTAACTAACGCCAGAGCTTCTTTATATAGAGCACATATAAAAGCACAAGAGCAATACATCCCTTTTAGTTTCATTTAGTTTCAAAATGTGGGCCACAATAGTAGCTTTTCTGGTTGAGCGTGCGCCCCATGTACTATGAGTCCTTTATGCAGAGACACAGAGGCTCACATTTTGGCCATTTGTTGCATGTTATGCCCTCTTTCTCTCCACACTTTTTATGTCACTCTTCAGCTGCTCTTTCAAAATAAAAGCAATAAAAAGCCCCAAAAACAAAAATCTCATGAAGAAAAAACAACTTTATTTATATTAACTTCATTTTACTTGTTAGTCTCTCTTGGTGCGTGCGTGTTGTGTGTGTGTGTGTGTGTGTGTGTGTATGCAGCTACCCACATTAGGTGACATATGGTGTGTATACACACACACACACACACACACACATGCACACAGGTGGTGAAGACTCCTGTTGTGTCACTTACATCAGCTTTAAAGTGTTGGTAATCAAATAGGACTTGTCTGTAATCAAACAGCCATCAAAGAGCTAAATTAAGTTTCTGGGAAATATGTATGAAATGTGTGCCTGCCATGACTCCCGAGAATGGTATGAACAAGCAAAAACATCTACAGACTGTCCTGTTGAAATACAAAACAATGACACCAGTCTGAAGCCCTAGTCACACAAGTGAATGCAACCATGCGCACACACCTGCAGCTTAATTCGCAAATGCTCAGTGTACACCACAAATAGGGCATATTTTAGAGGGTGTTGTGGACAAGCAAAGAAAAAGAGTTTTATCACACAAAAATACTCCTAAAATCCTAAATCACTCCCCATTAAATAAATAGTACACTATATGTATATTAATTAGAACTGGGCGTTATGGCCTAAAAATAAATTCTCAGATTTTTTTAACACCATACCTGATTCAGGTTTTAATCGATTTGTTTGTCTTATCACTGCAGTCTGTGTAGATAAGTGACTTGAGGGGATTGGGGCTTGTTTTACTGAGTAGCTGTGTACATCTGCCAATTTTTTGAATCATTTTAAAATGTAAATTCAAATTAGTCAATTTAATCGATTTATTGCCAAATTATGTAGTATAGAGTATGAAATAAATGCTCTATATACAGAGCCCTCAAAAATGACCAAAATGGAACTAAAGAAGTAGTGGCTCTGTCCATAATCACTCCCTTCTATAATCCCTATATAATTGACACTCAATAGTGAGCAGTATAGTAGTAGTATAAAATAGTAGTATAAATCACAGCAAATCTATATATATTGGGTAATATATATATAAAGAGATTGCCATACAGAAATGTCGAAGCCAGGTTTAAACGTCCAGCATGGAGTGGTTCTTTGTGGATATTTTTTCCTTTAATTTTTTCCAGTCTTTGAGTGTGTGCGTGCTTGTGTAAGCCACAGCCGTTATGCTCATATGGCCTGCTGGGTTTCAGGTTCTCCGTATGTTGTTGTGTGTGTGGTAGACTGGTGAGCCAGTCCACTAATGTAAGCTGATTATCTCTCTCATACAGTGGCTCTTCGCTGAAACTCACACGCAAACACAGACACACACACACACACACACACAAACAAACACAGTTGTGCTGTGGAGCCTTGGGGCCAAGGATGGGTCAGGAGGTCATAGTTCAGTCAGACATAATGAAGCACGTCACAGTGATGTGTGAGCATAGACTGACAGCAATGGGTTGTTTCTTTCTTTCTTTCTTTCTTTCTTTCTTTCTTTCTGCCTTTAACTCTCTCTCGCTGCAGTATCTATCTTCAGTTTTACAATTTGCCTTATCTCTCTGTTCATTTGCTATTAATTATGCATTATTTCTCTCTCAATTATGTGAAATATATGATTAGTCTTCTAGCTTCTTCACCTGTTTACAAACTCATTTGCTTGCACTCTCTTTCACTGTCCTCTCTTTTTCTCCGCTGTTGATCCCTAAACACTTACACCAGCAATTTGCCACCGTCACTCACACAGGTGATAATGAGCAGATTAAAAGGCAAAATAGGGAGAGAGAAAAAGAGAAAGATAGCATGCGAGTGGGAGTTAATGAGGATGTTCTGAATGGCTCGCTACACAGCAGGAGTGTTGTTACGTGAGATGTGTTTATGATTGACAGCCCTCCCCTCCCTTTTTCACTTAACACAGCTTTTGTTGGGAGATTATGTAATTTACCATAAAAGGACAATAGATTATATACAGCAATGGATGTAAATGTTTCCAGCCAGCAGGTTCTTAAACAAATGTTCTGCCCTTTCCGATACTGTTTCCAGATCAGTTTTTTATGAACATAGTTTTGATACTGAGCTACACCCGCACATATAACTACAACCACAAACACACAGGTTTTCTTCTTCTTCTTCTTTTTCTTCTTCTTCTTCTTCTTCTTCTTCTTCCTCTTCTTCTTCTTCTTCTTCTTCTTCTTGGCATTGCTTTCTTCCTCCATCTGATGTAGCTGTTTGATCCTGTGTTAGTCTGACAGGATGAGAGAAGGGGTTGTGGTGTGTGTGGCTGGAAAGACTGGTAGCTTGACAACAGCACACTCTCCATACAAACCAAACCTGATTAAATGTCACCTGTCAGACAGCATGTGTGTTCTTGACATAAATGTGTGTGTGTGTGTGTGTGTGTGCGTGTGTGTGTGTGTGCGTGTGTGCATGTGTGTGTGTGTGTGGCAGGTGTATGACAGAGGAAAGCAAGGTGAGAAGGGTGGTTAATGTGCAGAGTGCAATTAAACCTGATTTTAAAATGTCACCTGCTAGACAGGTTCAAACACTGATCTACCAAAGAGAAAGGAAGAATTATGGGAAGAGAAACAGACATATGCGCCATGTTCACAACATAATAAAGTTACCACCTTATAATTTGTAAATACCGTTCATGTCAGCATCCCAGACGTAATTCTGATTTTGGATCTTCTTTCGGAAAGTTTCAAAATATCCCAAAAGCAAATAGACAAGGATTTCTCAAACTGTCCATCAATCATGATGAGCACACTAAGTTGTTAAGATAGGAACCCAATGTCACTGGTACACTATTATTTCCTCCAATGTGTGCAAAACTACTTATAGTATATTATTATACTATATTTATTCAGGGTGTGAATTACACTCATACATAGTAAAACTAGCAATTGGCACCTTAAGTTGTCCAATAGCAGAAATGTTTTGCGTTGCTACCATCGATCCCAAATAATGTGAATGTGGCAAAACTTAGACTGAGAACTGAGGTGGGGTGGGCCAGCCGGTGTGCATTAGACAAAAGTATATTTGGGTATTTTGTGAGTAAACAATAAAACACCAAAATAAGGTGGATAATATGAGTAGAATTAAAATGGTGAAATAAGAAATTACCTATATAAATAGAAATATATTCCTCCACAATTCCACTGTCATTCCAATGGAAACAGTATTAAGCTCTAAGATGCTCCCACTAACCAACAACAGGCTGCAGTGTAATTTGTGTCATGTTGAACAACCTGCCAATAAATACAAAGTTGTTAATACTTAATATACAGTGTTGTAAGAATAGTAAATAATGATAAATAAATAAGGCTACACAACAGACATATGGCTTTAAATAGACCCAGTGATT